ACTTTGTATATTACATTTTTCACTGAGCTAGCCACTGATATGAAGTAGTGAATAAAATAGGCAGTCACTGCTCTCCTGAAACTCATATTCTAACACCAAATAATTGTATAATATATTTAAAAAATAAGTTATGAATGATATCTAGGATTCTAGGATTATAAGGAAATAATTCTAGAATTAAGGAAGTAATCCTTAATATATATGATATTCAGAACAAGTACAGGATTCTAAGATTATAAGAAAATGATCCTAGAATATAAGGAAATAATCCTTAATATATATGATTTTAAGAACAAGTACAGGAAGATTGACATTTAGGAGAAATTATAATGTCTATCTAGGTTGGAAGTGATCAGGGAAGGTGTCATCATGAAAATGTGACCCCACCTGGATTCAAGATTGAAGAAAAAAGTAAAAGCCTCACTAATTTTGTTTAGATAATAAAAAGACAATTTTGTTAGATAATAAAACTTGTTCATAAGCCAATCTCAAAAAACCAAAGGTCGAATATTTTCAGTGATATGTAGATACTAACCGAAATAAGGAGAGAGGGAAAGAATAGATGTTCTATTGATTAGAATGAAGGGAAGGGAGAGAGTAAGAAAAGGAAAGACAGTGTGTCCCAAGCCATCCCTGGGCTGTGTGTGTGTGAGCTATGCACATTTGGGCGTATGGGGGGACTTTGCTGGCATTGAGCATTGTTTGGGCTGTGCGATGCAAATGTCCCTTTCTTCTCAATCCGCCTGTGTTCCCACACAGCACCTGAGATGGGTATGACTTGCTAAGATGTCAATCAATCTGCTGACCACAAGACATCACCAAGCAAGATTCCACCCTTCAAAACCATACCCCTTGCCTTATTTAGGAAGAATATTTTATCCAATGTCTTCTCCCCAATAAATAGGAGGGTTTGGGGTTTGCTCTCTCTCTTGCTCTTTCCAATGTTGCCCAGCGTGGAGCTGACCCTTGGGGTCACTGAGCTGTCCCACTCTCATTCTTAGAAACTCATGTTGGTGTGCTGCATGGTTTTTTCACTGCTTTCTTAGTTATTGATACAGCCAACTCCTTTGAACCCAGCTCATTTTGCCAGCCCACCCAGCTGACAACAGTGGAATGAATCTGATATAACTTTACTATGTACATATATGAATATAACACAGTGAATCCAACCATTGTATACATTCACAAGAATGGGGTCCTAATTAGAATAAAATATTTTATTGACATATATCCTAAAAAAGTAAGAAGCAGAATCTTTCAGTTTTCCTTTATAGGTTAGATTTTGAGATGTATAATCTGGGAATCCAAGATTGCCAAGGTACTAAGGGGATTTAGGTTTTTGAGTTTCACAAGACATGCTTGTATAATTATATCAAAATGGATTCTACTATCATGTACAACTAAAAAGAACCAATAAAAAATAAAAATGGATGCTCCTTAGATACATGCTTATAATAAACTTATTCTAACAAGTGGGAGTAAAATATATGGGGAAACTGAGTATGTATAAATGACAAGATAAATGTATTTCTTTTTACAAAGACATTAAAATAAACAATAAAATTTGGTTTTTTGAAGGTATTTAAATATAATAACCTGGATAATAGTGTAGGAGGCTCATATAACTCCAAAACAATAGCATTGTTAGTTTGAATTTATATCTGGAAATGTTTTTTATATGCAGATTTTAAAGTTAGCAAGTGTGTGCAGGGTGTTCTGGGACTAGACAGATCACTCATAGCATTACCATGAGCTTTAAAACAAACAAACAACAACAACAAAAAAACAAACAAAGAACCATTTTAGCTTTTAAGGATTTTATTACTTCAGACAACAATGTAGGAGCAGAATGTTTTCAAGAGAGGTATTGACATAGGCCATTTTCTCATAGTGTTTATTGGCATATATCCTAAAATGTAAGAAGCAGAATCTTCCAGTTTTCCTTAACATATCAGATTTTCAGATGCAAAATCTGGGAATCCAAGATCGCCAAGGTACTAAGGGGATTCAGGGTTCTGAGTTCCATTTTCTTATGAATTCTGAGTTTAAAACCCAAGACTCTATCATGCTTTCTCCAAGCCAAACATTCAAAGTCTAGCTAGTTGTTACCTAAGCATTTATTCCCTTTCTGGTTGCTTTGATCAACTTCTTTTTGTTGTTTCCCCACAGCCTTTTCTCAGATTTGATGGATTTTCACACAGTACATAGTAGGATTCATTGAGGGTGGCACCAGGAGGAAAGTTCTCAGCCATGAGGATGGGGTCATAGAACATGCATCTTCTAGAAACAGTGGAGCATGGCTGCTCTCAGCCTGGGCACTTGGAAGATGACACCACACATATGTGAGAGATGCAGGTGTTGAGAGCCTTGAATCACATTCTGAGGGTGGCAATTCCCAGTACTGTCTTTACAATCACATAAGAGAAAGTAATAAACACAAAATACAGCACAGTAGAAAGTGCAGCAGACAGTCCCTAGAGCCAGGGGATAAATAGGCTGGGAGAGAAGGTTTTGATAACAGGGTCTCAGCTGTTGCAAGAAAACAGACAGTGGAAGAATAAAAAAGAACTTTCTTAGAAGTCATCAAGACCCCTGTTTGATAACTCTGGAACGGGCTAAAATTGTATCACACAGGGCCACATACCAGTCAGATGCCACGTGAACAGGTAGATTAAAACTTCTTGGGCAAAGCAGGCAGCTGCATGAATTTCATGAACACCAAACAGGAATAATCCCAAAAGGGTTGGTAAGGACGAGAGAGACAGCCCTAGGTCAGAGACAGAGAGCATGGAAAGGAAGCAGTACATGGGCTCATGAAATCTTGGCTCGGTCTTCTCCCACTCCAAGAAAGTAAGAAACATGGGTACTGTGTCCAGCACTGCATGTCCAGTACATTTCACAGTGAGTGGAATTGAGTTAGAGTTTAATAATATTTGTTCAGTTAAATATAACTTTAATAAAAGTTGAAGACAGTAATAATTTTCTCCATTCTTCATGCTAAAATCCATCTATTCAATCATATAACATGTCTGTGATTTATGCTTGTTTGCTTTATTTTAGGTTACTTAAGTCTGCGTTCCTCAAAGAACAAAAAATATCAGCCTCTTTTAATTCACAAAATACAATTTTCTGGCTGTTTGTCAAAGAGAGTGATTATCTTTTCCAAAGTCAGTACCTTTGTGGGCTCCCCACAAACCATTTTCTTAGATGTTTGTTGTTTAATCACTTCTCATCTTGTTAGTAGAGACTGATGAAGTTCTTCACTTTGTTCTGCCTCACACTGGAAAAATGTAGGCTTCCATTTCCTTCAACTAATGAAGCATTCATCTAGTGCTTTGTTGTGCTACAACCTCAACCCCCTGCCTGTGCTCCTGAGGTTACGGAAAATGTATCAGGATGTGGCTAAACACTTCAAACTCAGAAACGCTGCCTTGATCTGATGATAGATTTTCCTATCTGAGAAAATCTTTGTGGAAAAATTTGCAGTTATAAATCTGAAAGCTAAAAAGGCTGAATAAGTTGGAACTGATCTGTTGAAACTGTTCTGGGGTATTAAAAATAAGGTTTGAATCCCTGTTTTGATCTCCTGTCTGTGTGAAGTTGACTAAATCAATCTCTTAGAGTCTCAGTGTCTTCAACTGAAACAAATGGGAAGGAATACCTGATGAAAAGCTGGGTCATTTTAAGAATCATAAAAAAAAAATATAGGCCTTAAGCTCATCCAGGTGGCACATGCCTGTAATCCCAGTGGCTGGGGAGGCTGAGGCAGGGGAGGCTGAGGCAGTTCAAAGCCAGCCTCCACAATGGCAAGGTGCTAAGCAACTCTTTAAATAAAAATAAAATATAGGGCCGAGGATGTGGCCCAGTGGTTGAGTGCCCCTGAGTTTAATCCCTAGTACACCCCTAAAAAAAATTATGCCTTAAAATATGTGTAACATATCTTTCATGAAGTAGAGGTTCAAAAAGTGTGCATATATCTGTTAAAATTTTGTTATTTACTGTGGTATACTATCCATATCTAGGCCAATTATCATTCTTTAACATGACACTTTCAAAAATTTCCTTTTAGGTTACCTGAGAATAAAAATGTAGGAGACTAGGATTTATGTGTTTTGTGGAAAAGACTTAATTCAATGAGTCATAAAAAAGGCTAAATAAAATTGTTTAAATGGTATAAAAGAGATGTCAAGTTAGGAAAGGAAACTGGACTATTTTTTATCCATAAGAACAAAGACAGTGTAATTTTCTATAACATCATACCCTATTTTCAAAACCTTTGAGCATTTGTGATATGCTAATACTTGGAATACTCAACTTAAAATAATTTTGTTCTACCTTGTTGGAATTTTTCAGAACTCTTCAACATACAGTTTTTTTACATGATCTTATTTTCTTTTTAATTCATTAGCAATTATTTATTGAAATCTACGCTGCATCAGAAATGTCCTAGACATTAAGTTTATAAAAATAAATAAAACCTACAGTTGTCTCCAATCACTGACAGCACATTTTGTCAGTAAGTAAGCATAAATGAAATAAACATAAATATATAACAGCAATTGCAAATAACAAGCATAATGACCAATATAGAATAGCATAGCAATAAAAGATAAAATAGAAGGTTTTAGGTAACCCATGGTAAAATTAAATGTAAATTAAAAAAAATGAATAGAAAAGAATTGCATGAAATTGAAGTCAAGCACCTTTCAATAAAAGGGATCTCATATGAAAACTCACAGGAAATGAAAAACTTTGTAAATTCACCAGTTTTTCAGAAGACTTGTATAGTTGTAGTTTGATGATTATCTGATGATGCTGATTAACAAACATCATAAAACAACTCTTTTCATTCTAGCTGTCTGAGATGGGAACTTCAGACAATGCACTTCTTGTCTCTAGTTCTATGCCCATTGTAAGAATTCAAAGTGAATAAAACAATTCTTAAACTTACCTTTTCTCACTCACCAAAGACTTCCCCCCACTGTTATCACGTATCACTATTATATCTGCTTCTGACACAATTTTGCTACAACTCTAACCCTGATTTGCCTGGTTTTCACACAATAAACAATTGGGTTCATCAGTGGAGGTACAAGTAAGAGAACATTTGCCATGAGTACATTAATGAGGGGAGAGACATGCTGGCCGAATCGATGGACAATGGCCAGGTTGATGATTGGCAGATAGAAGATAACCACAGCACAGATGTGTGAAACACAAGTATTGAGGGCCTTGAGCTGCTCCTTTCGGGATGCAATTCCCAGCACAGTCTTGAGGATCAAGATGTAAGACACAACAATGAGCATGAAATCTACCATAAGGCAGAGTGCCCCAAAAAAGCCATAGATGACATCGATTCGGTTGTCAGAACAGGATAATTTCATGACATCCTGGTGGAGGCAGTAGGAATGGGATAGCTGGCTTTTCTTACAATATCTCAAGCTTCTCAGAGTGAAGGGGAAGGGTAGAACCAGGAGGATACTCTTAAAGGAGAACACCATTCCTATTTGGGCAACTCGGACTGATGTAAGGATGGAGCTGTATCGCAGAGGGTTGTGGATGGCTAAGAAGCGGTCAAATGACATGATCAGGAGGATTGAAGACTCCAGTGCTGTGAATCCATGGATGAAGAATTCCTGGGCAAAGCAGACATTGGCTGAAATTTCAGGAGCATTGAACAAGAAGATCCTCAACATGGTAGGCAGAGAAGACAAAGACAAACCCAAGTCAGACAGGGACAACAGAGAAAGGAAATAGTACATAGGCTCATGTAAGGAGGGCTCTGTCTTGATGATGAAAATGATGGTGCAGTTTCCCAGAATAGCAGTAAGATACATGCTGCAAATAGGGATAGAGATCCAGATGTGTGCATGTTCTAGCCCTGGCATCCCAACCAAGAGGAAGGTGGTGATTTCAGCATATGATGTGTTGGTAATGGCCATGATGTATTCAGAAGGCTCTGCAATGAAATGTACAGGCACTTATGTTAGGAAAATACAAAATTCTGGAAATTTTGCAGGAAAAAAAGCAACATTGGAATTTATGGGTTCTTTAATTCTTTTTGAAAGAACAGAGAATTCTTGTAGCTGTCATATGGAGACAAATGAATGCCACATTAGACTAGAATCTCCCTGTGTCATAAATTGGGGAAATTATTTTTGGCCATGTTTTTCCTGTACAAAAACTAAAATTGATTTTTTTATGAAGATATGTATTTGATTTCATTTTCCCTATAAAATATCAGTAAGCCTATATCAATTAACCTGGAGTTCTACTATTTCTTGCTTTTAGATCCTACAGAAGATGGACCTGCAGGCAGGTGTAATTTCTAGAGTGATGCTACATGTGAACAAAGTAATCTAAATATCTTCCTAATTCTAATAACTCCTACAAAGTATGTTTTTCTATCAACAAAACTGCCATAGGTTTTATCTTAATGACATGACTTCTGAATTCCTCTTCTTTCTGTATATGTGGCTAATTACCAAAAAATAGAAGTAAAATGCAGAGATAAATGAGAGTATCTGAGTACTTACTATTAAGTGATGAGCAATTGTGAGAGAAGTCAAAGAATCCCAGTATAAAAATCCAAGATATTTTATTGAACTCTTGCAACTCAGTAGTCTGGGAACCAGTACAGTCTTTAAACCATTTTGAATCTTCTTTTCCTCCCTTGATAGTTGCAAGGCCTGCATCCCTGGCCCCGAGGGTATGCTGCTGCCTGTCTTGCCACCTCTGGCTCCTCCGGATACACTAGGGCTTGTCTCTTCCTTTTCTAATTGCTTTAGAATCCCTGAGTTCTCTGGGGATTGCAGCCAGGCTGGATCTACTCTGAGAATGATAACAGTCATTTGCAGATGCAATAAATCCCACAGAAATAATTGATAACACAGAAATAAAATAAACACCTAGGCCTGAAAATATAACTGCTTTGGCTGGAGAAAGGTTGTTAATAACCAGGTACTGGAAAGATACTGTGCATACATAAAGAAGATAGGATACTTCTGCTAGACTTCTGGCTGATATGTTACCCCTCTACCCAGGTCAGAGACTAAGCATAGGTGTTATTAGATGAATTTGTGCAGTCAAAAAAGCACTGCAAGGAAAAACACCTGCAGACATATATTTTTAGTGTAGACTTTACTCTTGATGCTTGAGACCATCACTCCAGGTACTCTGAGCACCACTTAGAACCAGCTTGTCCAACACAGGCTCCATTTTCTCCCTTCCCAAATCTTCCCTTTTCAAGGCACCTATCACATCAATAATACTTTATGCTTAAGAATTTGTGAGTCCAAAGTCTAGCTCTTTTCACATTTTTATATACTACTACCCAATATTTATTGAAAATATGAAGTATTTCACTTACTGAGTTTCACTGCTAGAGGATGACTTTGAATCTTATAAGTTTTGAAATAATGGCAAGTTATATTGTTACCTTCATTTTTACTAATGAAGAAAGTGTTTCTCAAGGAGATCAAGTAATCCATTCAAGATCACATAAGGGTTGTATGGTAGAAGTAATTCAAAAATTTAGATCTGTTGTATTCCTAATAACTAAATTCATAGCATGCAATCTGGAGGGTTGCACTATATCTAGGATACTGAGAACTGAATGCATTGCTGTAATTCTGTATTACTTTCAGCATTCTAAACCAATTGCTAGTTATTTCTTGGGAATAATATAAAATATTTGGTCTTATATTTGTGAATTGGCAACAAAGAAAATCATACTAGTATAGTTATCCTAAGGAAATGATCTTGAGGAGAAAAAAAAATTATTCATTCTATGGATTAAAAATGTGGTATATATACACAAAGGTATATGTACACAAGCCATAAAGAATAAAATTATGGCATTTGCTAGTAAATGGATGGAACAAGAGACTATCATGCTAAGTGAAATAAGCCAATCTCCCACAAAACAAAGGTAGAATGTTCTCTCTGGTATGCAGATGTTAATTCACAATAAGTGGGGTGGGGAATAGATGTTCACTGGATTAGACAAAGTGGAATGAAGAGAAGGCAGGGGGAATGGGAATAGGAAAGACAACAGAATGAATTGGACAAAACTTTCCTATGTTCATATATGAATACAGGACCAGTTTAACTCCACATCATGGACAACCACAAAAAATGGGAAGATATATTCCATGTAGGTATGATATGTCAAATACATTCCACTTTCTATAACTGTAAAGAACAAATAAATAATTAAAAATTTATTCATCCTCATGAATATATAGTCTTCGAATATATATATATATATATATATATATATATATATATATAATTAAGTTGAGTAAGAGGAAGAAACATAAGTTTTACCATAAACTCCTTAAGCTATGTAATGATTCTTTTTAACTGCAAATAGCCTGCTGTTTACTTTTGCCTTAAAAATAAGCAATACTTATACCCAACTTGGTGTTGTCAGGAATTTTTTCCTCTGTGCATTTTCCAGATCATTTTCATGAAAGAGAAGGCAGGGTGAATGTGTGTGTGTGTGTGTGTGTGTGTGTGTGTGTGTGTGAGAGAGAGAGAGAGAGAGAGAGAGAGAGAGAGAGAGAGAGAGAGATGTGTTTGTAATAATTGCCTTGGTGATATTACATGTCCATTTGCTCAATGTTATTTTTACTTTTATTTATCTTCATTAACTTTCTCACCTACTGATGCTTTCTATAAAATAAAATAACAGATTTTAGCAATTAACAAGAAATATTCTAAAGAATTTTTATATTATAACCTAGCACTGTATCTTTTTTGTATGTTAATTTACTTAATAATATATTTTGAAGTTTATAAATGAGATTAAAATGATAATAAGAAGAAATCAGATATTTTAATGAATTAATTTGTTATTGGTTTTCCTGCTATAAATTGAAGTATTTTATCAGTGCATGTTAATTATACAGAATAATGTGTTTCATTGTAGTGTATTCATACCTGCATATAGCATATTTTTATTATTTCCAGCCTTGCACTATTCCCTTTTGCCCTCACTTTTTCCTTTCCCTTCATCCTCTTATCCTTGCCTAATAGTTTCTTTATCCTCTAGATTCTACATATGAAAGGAAACCTGTGATATGTTTTTAAGACTCCAACTTGTTTTAACATGATGATCTCCAGTTCCATCTATTTTCCTACAAATGACATGATTTTGTTATTTATGGCTGAAGAATACTCTCTATATAGCTATCTCATCTTGATAAATCTATATATGAGAGAAATATAGATATATCACATTTTATTTATTGATTGATAGACACTTAGGTTGATTTCATAATTTGACTATTGTGAATTGTGCTATGATAAACATGAATAGGCAGGTATCTCTATAGTATGCTGAATTTAACTCCTTTAGAAAAATATGGAAAAGTGGTATAGCTGAATTATATAAATTTGAGCAATTTTTCTATAAAAGTAAATATCATGGATTAGTTGACCTCGTAGATAATGATGATGACGATATGCATATCAAGTAGATAGGACAAGGCTAAAACAGTGCCTCTGTAAATCATTATATGTTAATGAAATTAAATTATTTAACTTCATTAAATTGGAAGAGAAAGTAGTAAAAATCTAAAGGTAAATTTCCATTTCAAGAAAATGGTAAATAAAGAACAAATTAAACCTGAAGGAAAAGAGAAAAAAAGAATAATGATAAGATCAGAAATCAATAAAATAGAAATATAATATAAAGTCAATAAAGCAAAAATTTGATTCTTTGAAAAGTTTAAGAAACATTTTATATTTAGAAAAGTATAAAAATCCTTGGGAGACTGGGGGGATATATCTCAGTTGCTGGAGTGCTTGCCTTGCATGCACAAGGCTCTGGGTTCAATCCTCAGCACCACAAAAACAAAAACAAACAAACAAACAAGAACTTGGAGAGACTGATCAAGGATAAGATGGCAAACACAAAATTTATATCAATAATGAAACTAGAGAATTTAGCTAATGCTCTGCAGACAATACAGAAAATAGCTGGATTCAACAAATATAATAAACAACCTTTTAAACAAAGTGAATAACTCAGACAAAATGGAAAAACTCTTTTTTTTTAGCTTACAAAATTCTTTTTTTATTGATCAATTATAATTGTACTTTATAGTGGAATTCATTAGGCCATATTCATACATGCACATAACATAATTTGATCAATCTCATTCTCCACCACCTTCCCTTCCCTCCTTTGTTTCTCTCCTCTAGTCCACTTGCTCTACTCTACTATCTCCCTTATATTATTATTAATTATTTTAATTAATACATTACAATTATATATCAAAGCAGAATTCATTGTGCTATATTTGTACAAGGACATAGCATAATTTGGTAGCTGGTAAACTTCTTTCTGAGTACTTCACCATGACTCTCCCTTCCTTCTCCTCCATCCCCTTCCTCTACACTGTTGGTATCCCTTCTATTTTTGTGAGATCCGCCTTTGTTTATTACATTTTTCTTTTTTTCTGGCTTCTCTAGAACATTTAATCCTTGACTTTCTGAGTCTCATTTATTGAACTCTGCATGAAGTTCCTCCATTCCATTCATTTATGTACAAATAAAAATTTCATTCTTCTTTGTGGTTGGGTAAATCTCCATTGTGTACATACATCACATTTTCCTTATCTATTCATCTGTTGATGTGCCTCTAGTCTGGTTTCATAACTTGGTTATTGTGAATTGCATTGTTATACACTATATATGCTTATATCACTTGCTATGCTGATTTTAGTTCTTTTGGGTAATTATGAAAGAATGGGATAGCTGGGTCTTATGGTGATTCCATTTCTAGTCTTTTGAGGAATCGCCACAGCACTTTCCAAAATAGTAATATCAATTTACAGTCTCCAAAACAATGTATAATGTACCCATATTCCCATGTACTTGAGCTGTTATTATTAATACTTGGATTTAAATAACCATAAATAATCGATAGAAAAAC